TTTCCTGGCGGAATCCAGCACACCACCTGTACTAGCATTTCATCACAGGAGGATTCTGATGTGGCTTCAGCAGTTCCCACTGTCTGCACACATATCATACTGTGGTAGCCGGAAGCACTGCAGAAAGCAGAGCTGGACCACCCTGCAAATGCAGGGACAGTGCCTGGTACCCTGGGTGAGAACGAACTCCGGAGCTCCCCCGTGTCTGGGCCGGTGGCTGACAGGGAGGGATGATCTAACCTATCTAAACAGACCTCGCGCCCCTGTCACCCCTCCTGCAGCCATGCTCCACAGCACAGCACCTCTCATCAGCACGAAGGCGTACAGGACAGAAAAGAAGGTCCCCTTTACCTCAGGACAGGCAGACCCAGAGCTAGTGGATGGTTCACTGAACGGTTCCCCTTGCTTTTCCTCCTTCACTTCTTGGTGTTCCGCTCCACTTTCTTTTTTTATTTCTTTTTTCTGCTCTTCACTTTCCTCAGCCTTCAGGACAATCCCTTCATCTTCAAGGGAGTTCACTTTGGTCAGAGCAGGAACTGGAAGATACGTACCCACGAAAGTGAACACACCGTGCCAGACAACGTACAGGCTACCACAGACCTTCTCTCCGATTTACAGGGCAGCGTCAGAGCACCTAGATCACCTCCTACACTGCAGGGTGCTGGGTATATTTTACAGCTGTCCACCAGCACAGCAACTTGGTATACAAAGCAACTGCTCCCTCTTTCACCACAGTGTTCTGCACTTCTAATACTCCTAAAATACGCTGCTTCCCAGAATCTATGACTCTGTCAGAGTCCTTCATTTTCTCTGGACACACACACCTCAAAAACTCTGTGACAGTTAACTACATTAACCACTTCCTCATTTAAAACAAGTTTTTCTTTTGGTGTCAATTGAAATGTGTGCTCTGTAACATAACTGGTTAAAAGGAGGAAAATCAAAAAATAACCCACCCAAAAATCCCATTCTGTACTGTATTTACGTTAGAAGGAAGAGAACTCCAGGTAGGCCAGCTCAGAATCCTTAAAGTTACCGCTGAAGTTTCTGGCACACCGGAGATCACCAGTTGATACAAGCAACATTTAGGAGACTACGTGAAGCCAACTTCTCCCACAGAAATCAAGTCATATACCCTCCCGATCCTGCAGAGACCACACCGCAGACAGCGGCCTGGGTGACTGCAGGGAACCCGTGACCCGAGTACAGCTCCAGCTCTGCTGGGCTTTAAGGTCTTCCACATTCATTTTGGGTCACTGTCATTCACTCTTTGTTGCTCAGAGCCCCTGGAACTGAGCTGTTTGCCTCACCGCTGCCCTCAGCGTGGTTCTTCAGTTATTTGACCCAGTTTAGAAATTAAGTTCATCCATCCAGGCACTAGCACATCCCTGATAAAATCAATAAAAGAGCGAGCACCACAGAATTAAGATTTAGGAACAAGAGCTGCTTTTTTTTTTTTTCTTTTCACAGAACAGTTACTGCAGCCCTGCACGTTCTGCTGCTGAAAGCAACTCTCCAATATCATGAAAATCGTTTCTCCAACCCCTTCAACAGTACTATGTCATCAACCAAGTATGAGAAATACATGCTGCCGAAATGCTGGCTCAGATACCTTCGTTTTCTTTACCTGCTAGCTGTGACACGTAGGCCCACAGGAAATGGCAGCGATTCATGCAGGCTTGGCATACCATTTCATGGAAGTCTCCACTATCGGGAGGCACTGCGCCAAGATGCTATCAAAAAGAAACAAGCACGCAGCAGTGAAACGTTTGCTGCAAATGAACAGACTCAGTTTAAGTTTAAAGGAAGTTAAACATCAACTGCCATTGTACTTTCCACACGAGCACGCGCTCCTGCTAACTTTCTACGCTATCAGTGTAACTTACAGACAGGAAAGAGCTGATCAGAATTCCAGGGGAAAACTGAAATAATTCTCTTGGTCTACAGCCTTTTGTGCCTTCCACATACCCAGAAATCTCAGTTCTTATCTCATTTCTAAATGTTACTCTTCTGAACTGTCCTAAACATAGGACAGGTGAAGATAACTACTGCACACTGCACATTCAAACTATTCAGTACCTTAGGATTCCTTCCTTACATGTAAGATTGCAAGCCTTCATACTGACCTTGAGAAGAACTAGGTCCCAAAGCTCTCCATAAACCAGTGAGGACTATATAGGCAATTAAAAACACTTAGCGGCTTTCTTTTGAAAAGCATTCTTGCAAAGCTCACAGCATGCAGCATGACATTCTTCATCCATACATTTATACAAAAGAATCCTACAGTTTATCTACAGAACCCATAATTTAAGTCATTCATCTTGTTTTTAATTCTTTGGTCCTGCAACTTCTAACACAGAATTGCACTCATGCCCTTCAGGGTGCAAGAGGCTGAACCCTTGATGCTTACACGTCGAGCAGGGCACTCGCTCAAGTGCTGAGCTGCTTTTAAAGGACTCCCCTGAAGTTTGTAATCAGGAACCAACCGTGCAGTGTGCTCCTTGCCATTTAAAGGAATTCCAGTTTGAAAAGCACTCTTCTGAACTATTCAGGTAGTTGATAATGATGTGCCTCAGTAAAAATCTTCTTGACACCAATTCTACTGATTAGAATTTTCCAATTAAAGAGATAGTTATGAAGTTGTTATTTTAGTCTGCAGCAGTAACCTTCAAAAAGATAGAACCCTTCCTAGAGTTTTTGGGCTGGAGCGGACAGTTGCGCAGGATTAAACTGTCAATATTTCTTTGCATGGGATGAAAAGAAATACCTCAGAACTCACACCATAATCTGTTGAGAGCTACAGCAAACCTTCCCAAGAACAACCATACAGACTTAACCAACACCGATCTAATATGCAAATGGCAATTCTGCTGCTTATAGTTTCCTTACCCTTCCATGGAACCAGTCTTCACAAACGATGCACTGGATCATCTCATCTGGAATCTAGACGAATGGCCGTGTTATTAGCATTAACAGCACCTTCCAGGATCTTTCATAAGCCTCAAACTGCAGTATTACAGTTTAAGCCTACAAAAGCGAATTGCGTGTCCCCCGTCACCCACCCACGGGGAGTCGCTGTTACTAAGCGATTACTGCTTCAGTAGTCAGTTTGCTTCCCCAGAGTCCAACTGCAAACGTAACTTGTATTATGAAAACACTGGACATTCCCATTTATTATTACGAAACTAGTTTTCCCCGTAGAGCAAGACATTCTTGCACACACAAGAGCTGATAGAAGTAAACACACTATTGGTATCTTTCCTCCTGTAAACAGAAATGCATCAGCAGGCAGCTTAGCAAAAGAAAGATACTGATACTCAGTATGTCATCAGGTTTACAGGAACGCCAGAATCCTAACTTACCCGTCCACAATACAGTAGAGTAGCAAGTGCCTTGTTACAAAACAATTATTAATGATTTCTTTAGAAACGTTTAGCTATCCCTGAACTTCAGAAAGGTGAGTCTAATACAAAAGAAGTATTTTATAAAAAGACTTGTGCCTTCTTTATTCTTTCACACACCTAACTTACATGGCTACAAACAGAAGTTTGCATGTGCAAACAGAGGGGTATACTTTAATACTTTAGGATGGGAAAAGGTGTTCAGAATACTGTAAAGCAAAGCTAAAGCCAGTGCTACAGGACAGACTCTCCCCATCCCAGAAGCCTGCTGCAGGCACAAGGAAGCAGATTCTGGTCTCTCCTAACACGTGCAATGCCTTTATTCTGTGCTTGCCACATTCCTCATGACAAGGAGAAACCCACCCCTAAGGGCACTCTGTGACTTTAGAGACAGGAGAACAGAGACGACTGCAGCAGCGTTTAGTCCAAACCATCAGTTGTCCTCCTCAGCTGTCTTTAAGGCATAAACAAATTCTACCATTTAAAAAAAACCCCCACCTGATAATTACTTTATACAGCACATGACAACCAGAAGCAATATGAACACATGATTTCTTAAAGGCCTTCCCCGTGAAGCAGCTCAGCAACCACCCTTTGCACAATGTTTTGCCTAAATACCATCTACGTATGGTCGCTACTGTGTTTCGTATTTCTTACCTCATCTTCAGGATCTGGATAAGGTCTTTTACAAGTACAGTATAATCCGTAGAAATTGTCATTATACTTATTTCCTGGATTCACCTTGCCTTTTTCCTAGGGGGATAAGAAAAAATGTCTCAATAGACAATGCAGTGAAAAACAAAAGACAGAAAATATGTATCATCTAGAAAACCTCAATTCCTGTTCCACTTTAATTCCTAAAAAAAAAAAAAAAAAATCATTACACACATCAGCTTGAAGATCCAAAAAGGAAGATATTCTACAGACACCTATGCTACACAGCGAGCAGCAGATAGGGCACGCGGGGATATGGAAGTTCAAAAGGAAAGAGGAAAAGCAGTCTTTCCACCTTTGTAACAAATGGCAACTGTGGTGTTTGTTCAGCTACTGCTGACACAAGGGGTTTGATCACCAACCGCGCCTGCCCGCTGTCATCACAGCAGCATCTGCAGATTTACTGTGCACCTCCCCCTCCATTGTTTTTAAACATCCAGACTGCGATCCAAACCTCAGCCTCCACTAAACTCATGTCATGTAAACCTCACTGTACAGGACAGGATTATCCAAATTACAAAACACGCTGAATGGAGTTCCATTACAGGTAATCCCATTTAAAAAACCCAACGCCCCTAACACAGCAGCAGCCAAAGGGCTCCACAACTGCACACAGATGCAGCCTGGGGCTGCCAGCAGCCCCTGCAGAAACAGCTGCCACCATTTACTAAGTTACTGCAACACGCTTTCCACCACCCTTCTGACAAAGGAAGAACGGACGGTGCGAGCGCCCGGCATCCATGATGAAGGAGGAAGAACAACCACGTGATCCATTTCATCGACTCAAATGGGAAACAGCAACATCTTAAAACTGTCACAGCTGTCTCCAGGGATCACTGGATGGCAGCCTGAGGCTCTCTAGCACTGGATCCATCCCAATTCTGCCAGAACAGGACTGGGATACACAAACCACTTGTTGCTGTTTCCACATTTGACTTGTTACTACCCTGGAAGCGGCACCGCAGCCAAGCCAATCAGCTTCCTGTCGCTGCTTCACAGATGATCAACTACATGACGAGTCCAAAATGCCCACCAAGTATGACAGCAGAGGGGGCTTAACAACAGTAACAAACTGTCCCATCTGTAGGCTCTCGTGGCAATCTGTCAGAACAGGTGAGGGGACTAATGCCACTGCAAAGAAGGGGAGGGAACTGTCTCTTTGACAGCAGCACAACCTTACGTTTCCTTAATGCCACTGCAAAACTGCACCCCAAAAGGTTCTCCTGAAGCCAGCTTACAGGAAATGAGATGTTTTAGTGCAGGCACCATGTCTTGTTTCTGGCATTATACTAGCTACGGCTGCAGAACTGCTGCATTCACAGATGACAAGAATCTAATATTCTCTCTCCTCGCAACATTTCCCTTTTCTCCCTCAACAGATGATACTGCTGTAACACTCCCACCTTGTTTAAGGTGCTGGGAAAAGCAGAGGCATCGCATGTGGGAGCACTGTCTGCTGCAAGGCACCAACCTCCCAAGACTTATTTTGATTCTGTATGGATGAAACCTAGATCGGAACTTACTGGGAATAACTTGCACTGCAGATTTTTGAACTTGCTATTTCCACAGTCACAGCGGAAGTTCCTGGTAAGAAAAACATAGCATTTTGGGGTTTGTATTAACTGAAAACACATTAGACCTTGTGTTTGTAACGATCCCCAGCAGTTTAGCAGGAGCCATAAAAATATTCTTGCAGCTATTTAAACAACAGCATCAGTCAGCGCTGGCCAAAGGGCCCTGCAGCCGTGCCCTTGGCAGATCTCGGCTTCGGCCATCATCCGCAGCAGCGCTGGGCAGGGAGATGCGGCAACGGCAAACAGACCGGGCTGCTGCTACTGCCGCCTCCAAACCCGCGTGCTGGGGAAAGAGCGGCGGGAATGGGTTCGCTTCCAGAGGCTGGGGACGCGAAGGG